GCACCAAACCCTTGCCGAGTCTTCGAGAAGTTTTTTCTGAGGTTCGACGCGAGGAGAGTCGTCAGAAGATCATGATGGGAGAGAATGACCAACCTCACCAGACTGAAAATTCTTCAGCTCTCACAACCCGAGCGATTGACAATCAAATGAAGAAGACAAGGCCCTGGTGCAACCACTGTCGGAAGCTAAGGCACACTCGGGAACGTTGCTGGAAGCTTCACGGCAAGCCAAGTGACTGGAAACCACCTTCGGGTGAGTGGAAAATGTCGAAAGCAGAGACCTCCAGCAAGCTTCGAGGAAATCACGTGACGGCTGAGGAAGTAATTTTTGATGAGATGGGAAAAAACCCATTTATCCCTGAACAATTGGAAGCCCTCCAACAAATCTTGTCCAAGAAATCTCACCCGGTCAGTGCTTCTGTGGCACACAAAGATAATATTCATAGTTTATCTGCTCTTTTAGAAAAAGGACAGGTGTGGGTGGTAGACTTTGGAGCATCTGATCATATGAGTGGCGATTTCTCAATATTCCAAAATTACAGAAGATGTGAAGAAAATAGTTCAATCAAAATTGCAGATTGTTCTCTCTCAAAAGTGGCAGGAATGGGCTCTGTAAATTTGTCTCCAAATTTGACTCTCTGTTTAGTTCTCCATGTTCCGAATTTGGATTGTAATTTGTTGTCTGTTAGCAAGTTATGTGAAGATTTGAAATGTGCTGCGAAATTTGTTTCTAATATGTGTAATTTCCAGGATTTGGACTCGGAAAAGACAATTGGCAGTGCTAGGATGAGCTCGGGATTATATTTGCTTCAAGTCAACACCCCTAAAAGACAAGCTCACAATGCAGTATGTGAAAACTCTATTCTTATTTCCAAAAATAATGATCATGATATTATGTTGTGGCACTATAAACTAGGACATCCAAACTTCATGTACTTAAAAAGGATGTTTCCACTACTATTTAAAGAAAAAGATCCAGTTTCATTACAGTGTGAAGTTTGCCAATTTTCTAAACATACTCGAAGTTCATTACATAGTCTACCATATAAACCATTTAAACCATTTGCATTAATTCACAGTGATGTTTGGGGCACTTCCAGAATTTCCAACGTTTCCGGAACTAAGTGGTTTGTATCTTTTATTGATGACCATACAAGAATTATTTGAGTATTTCTCATGAAGAAAAAATCTGAAGTGGGATCCCTATTTAAAAAATTTCATACAATGATCGAATCCAATTTCATGCTACCATCCAAGTATTTAAATCCGATAATGCTTGTGAATATTTTGAAAATACTCTTGAAAAATACTTTACTGAACATGGCATTATTCATCAAACCTCCTACGTTCATACTCCACAGCAAAACGGCATAGACGAAAAAAAAAACAGACATATTCTTGAGGTTGCTAGGTCTCTCATGTTCACCACACATGTACCAAAATATCTTTAGGGAGAGGTTGTCCTTACAGCTACCTATTTGATTAATCGGATGCCTTCCCGTATTCTACAGTTTCAATCATCATACACTATCCTCTCAAAAATCTTTCTTGATTCTCACATCTTAAACACTTTGTCACTTAAAGTATTTAGGTGTTTAGCATATGTCCACATTCATAAACATCTTTGTGGAAAATTAGACCCAAGAGCAATAAAGTGTATTTTTATTGGGTACTCAGCAAATAAAAAAGGATACAAATGTCTACTTCCGGAAACCTGCCGATTTTATAATACCATGGACGTCACCTTTTTTTGAGAATCAACCATTTTATCCCACCACTGATATTCAGGGAGAGACATTCACTCAGAAATATCAATTGTGGGATGTGTGTGTACCACCTCTCTACCCACAAAATCCATCACCAGACAAATCTTTTTTGGAGATTGAACCCGAAACCTCACAAAAGAAATCAGAACCAAAACCTGTTATAGAAAGCACATTACCTGCAACGAGTGAGTTACGTGTCTATACAAGAAGAAACAAAAGAAAAGCACCCGAATCATCCAAGCACTACCATGAATTCCCCACTAATTCAGGTAACGTAATCTCTGTACTAACTCTTGATTCCGTTGATTCTGATATTCTTATTACTTTGAGAAATGGCACTCGAACATGCACCAAACATCCTATACAGGACTATGTTCCATTGGACAAATTATCCTCAGAACATCATGCTTTTGTGAGCAGGATAGACAACAGTTCACCTGAACCCAAAACAATACATGAGCCCTTAGAAATTCCAGAATGGAAATTAGCTGTCCTAGATGAGATCAGGGCACTTGAAAAGAATGAGACATGTGAACTAACTAATTCCTCCAGGAAAGCGTCAAGTGGGATGCAAATGGGTTTTTACAATCAAATATAATCCAGATGAGAGTGTGAACAAGCTTAAGACCCGCTTGGTAGCCAAAGGCTATACACAATCATATGGTATAGATTATCAGGAGAATTTTGCACCAGTTGCCAAGCACAATACTATTCCGGTACTCCTCTCACTTGCATCTAACCTTGACTGGCCATTGTATCAATTAGAAGTAAAGAATGCATTCCTTAATGGCGATTTGGAAGAAGAAGTGTATATGAATATACCACCAGGGCTCGAATTAATTGACAACTCTCAGAAAGTGTATAAATTGAAGAAATCACTCTATGACCTAAAACAATCTCCAAGAGCATGGTTTGACAGATTCACAAGAGCTGTAAAACATAAAAGATATGAACAATGTCAATCTGACCATACATTATTCGTCAAACATTGCATATCAGATAAAAAGGCTATTTTGATTGTATATGTTGATGATATCATTCTTACAGGAGATCACCTTGAGGAGATTCAGAAACTTAAAGAATTCATGTCCAAAGAATTTGAAATAAAAGATCTTGAAGCACTAAAATACTTCCTCGGCATGGAAGTAATTAGATCAAAAAAGAAAATTTCAGTTTCTCAACAAAAGTACATTCTGGATCTCCTAAAAGTGACTGAGATGCTAGGAAGCAAGCCTGCTGACACCCCTATGGACTCAGTCATCAAATTTAGATCCAGAATCAGTAATAAAATGGTTGACAAAGGGAGATACCAAAAACTTGTTGGGAAACTTATTTAGTTGGCTCACACAAGACCAGACATGAGTTTTGCAGTAAGTACAGTAAGTCAGTTCATGCATCAGCCAACAGAAGATCACAGGAGTGCTGTGTATCGGATTCTGAGGTATCTCAAGAAAACTCCAGGACAAAGTTTATTCTTTCAAAAAACAGACAGAAGGGGTATTGAAATTTATACGGATGCGGATTGGGCAGGTTCTACAAACGACAGGAGATCTACATCAGGATATTGTACCTATATTTGGGGTAACCTGGTTACCTGGAGAAGTAAGAAACAGTCTGTTGTGTCTCGCAGCAGTACAGAATCTAAATTTAGAGCGCTCGCTCATGGTATTTGTGAAGGTGTATGGTTGAAGAGAATACTTGAAGAATTAAAAATCATCAACAATATGCCTATTGAAGTATGGTGCGACAACCAATCAACACTTAGTATGGCCAAAAATCCAGTATATCACGATAAAACTAAACATGTGGAGATTGATCGTCATTTCATTAGAGAAAAATTCGAAGATGGGACTATAACTCTGATACATATTTCAATCAATCAACAGATCGCAGATATTCTAACTAAAGCTCTTCCTAAGAGAACCTTTGATGACATAATATCTAATCTAGATTTATTCAACATATACGTAAACTAGATTAAGGGGGAGTGTAGAAAATATAATAATTAGAAGAATAAATTAGGATTAAAAATGGTTATTTACAATTGTTATGTGCTGTAAATTGAGGGAATCACCGACAAACAAATTTGTCCTTAAAAACAGAATTTTGTTAGATTTTTCTCCAGAATTTGTTAGGTTGTTAGGGTAGTAGACTTGTATATATATATGTGTGGAAATCATGCATCAAAATATAAAGAATATTTTCTCTCAATTTTCTTCACATAGCACTCACCCCTGCATTATAAATAAGCTGAATAACACGAATAGGAGCAGCCTTGATCTCTTTTGACTTGAACGCAGCATCCATTGGAAGATTTTCTTCAAGAAACTAAAGGAAAAAACAAAAAAAAAATTATTTGAAAAGAGACACACTCAAGTCGAAGTAAAGGTGTAACGAGATTTGGCTAAGGAACTCAAAAGGAGTACCTGCAAATTATCACCAAAAACTTTAAGTTGAGCTGTTGCTTTGTCATCCCGAACTCCAATGAATGCTTCAAATGTAGCCTAAGGTAATAAAAAAGAAAGAAGATTTTAACTTGAGAAACAGCATAGTATAATAAGAATGCATGGCCATTAAATTTTTATCTCTAACATTCCTATTCATATGGGTATTTATATTTCACTTGCTTAGACAGCACATAACATGTGATCAAAGAAGCATTTTGTTATGTGACTATTACCTTGTACCCAAAAAGTGCATCTTCATATGTCTCATATGGACCAATTGTAATATCCAGCTTCGAATCCTACATAAAAGAGAATTTATTATTATTTGTATTTTTTTGGGGGGTGGTGTATGGGTATAGGAAAACAATGAGCATGATGTTTTTATTGCGAAAAGATAATAAGCATATTAGTTATTAGAAAACACAAAATTCTTACCATTTATATCACTAAACCTACTGAAACAAAATTAATGCCATCAAAGTAAAATTCACAAATGATGGAAAGGTATATGACGGGAAAATACTTGAACTAACCAATTCCATCCAAGCTATGTCAGAGTCGTAGTAGTCATTTGAAAGAAAGGCATCAGCCTTGGTATGTAGCAATTTCTTCAAACTATGAAATGCAAAAATGATTCAGCAAATACATGCAAAGAGAAGGGAATTCTGAAACATTCTTAATGAATAAGCAACCAAAATTCAAATCTCAGATAATGTTATACCTAGGTGAACTGACCATGTCCCCAGCTTGATGCAATAGATCCGCAGCCTCTGTGAGCAAAGGTCTATATACTTGAGAGTAAGGGATGCACTGCAGATCAAATGCAGACTCCAGATGATTTGTGCCGTCAGCTGTTTTACTAGAAAGAGAGGAATTTAAACTGAAATCATTACGCCTCCTGATAATAGTGAAAAAGCCAGTTGCCTCTTGTTGGTGCTCCACTTCTAGACTATTCTTCCACAACTCAAACTCCTACCAGACAAAGAACTTATCAGTTTCCAAGCAGGATGGAAAGAGCAAGCATAAAAGAACACAGCAAAACCAGTTCCATATTCAAGTCTAAAGATTCTGGTTGCAAAGCAAAGACGCCTTATAAAGCATAGAACACTTTTGATTCTACCGTTTTGTCCATGTCTGGAGGGTAGAAGTTCGCTCCAGGAGGTTTTTCCATAGGAAATGTAGCTCTGTATTCAATACCCCTCCAGCCAGCAACTGGTTTTGTGGCTTGAGGAAGTAACTTCAAAGCTGAATCTGCAGTTGTTAAAAAAGCCTCATTTTCATCTAGGCAGGACCTGTAAATCAAAATCAGTGACTGAATAGGCATCTCCAACCCAAATTCTGCAACCTATAGATATCAAAGCAGACAGATCTTTCAAATGACTAATGTAGAACAGAGCTACAAAACTAATTAATGTTAGAAGGAATAAGAATTGAGAAATAAAGAGAAAAGGGAATATAGGAAAGGAAGATAATCAATGCAGTGAGAGGACATACGAACAGGAGATCTTAGATCCCAAAAACTCAAATAATTATTTCTACTATTTAAAGCTGTTTACCAATCTATGCGAGGTGCTATTATCTAAGGATTAAGTGCCCCTTAAATAAGAAATTAATCATAATATGAACAAGTATCTGTGTCTCATTTTATACCCTATAACCAATGAGCGCCTACTTTCTCCTTGTTTAAAATATAATTTTTAGTTAAAGAAAGCCTTTTTTTTAAGATAAAAGAAGAAATTTTA